ACGCGCATTATACTGGGCTTTATTCAACACTCTGCGCACTGTTCTGGAGTTAACTTCTTTTCCACTGAACTCCAGTAACTCCGCTCGCACTTTTGATGAAGATACTTTCGGTTCTTTCCCAATAATTTGTACAATTTTTCGCTTTTCTCTGTCCGTCAACCTGCAGGGACGTCCTGTTCTAGCCTTATTGCTGAGGTTTTCGCCATTTTTGTATCGTTTGATTATGTCCTGAACCGTTGTTCTGGGCCTACCAACACTCTCAGCTATTTCGGAAACAGTTTTTCCCAACTTAAACAAATTCAAGATGATTTTTCTGTCTTCCACCGTAGTTTCTTTGCCTTTTCTACCCATTTTTTTTGAAATCGGATAAAGATCGCGCAAGAGCAGTCGAATTTGACAAAAAGTAAACATTTGTGAATGGAAAATGTCAAATTCATTAATTTGCAGTGTTCCCAGATTTTTGGCTTGGATATTAAAATAATCTCAATTCCGTGACGAATACTTTTGTCCACCCAAAAAAAGGATACTGAAGTATTTTATGGCCAGTATCTACGAAAAATCGAATGGTTCTTTTATAACTTCGACTCATCAGTTAAAGAACAATGCGGAGAGTCTTTTTCACTCGAATTATTACGTTGATAGTAAATACAATTTCCGTAAAGTAACATGAACAATGATAATGAGCGTGTGACGAATACTTATGTCCACCAGTGTACGAATCACACACACAACATTTAGCCTCAAAATCCCTTCGTCCCTGAATGAAGCAACGATACTTCCGGCGTAGTTCATGTGATGTGTTATGTAACTGGCACACAAACTTAACGAACTGAAACTCGGAATTTACACCGTGATTAACAAAAGTGGTCTCAAATTATAAACAATCAAAGAGAACGGTCACATTGTACACGCTCACAAAATTTAAGTCATAAATGAATGAGTTTTTTTACGAGAAATTCACTTTCTTTAAATCAATCGATTTATTCTCTGAAACTAAAATTGTTAAATCTTGTAAAATATACAATTATTGTGGGGCAAACAAGAAAATCAGGACAAATCTTAAAATTTTATAAATAAATCAGGACTCCCCAAAACGACCTTTTCACATAAGAAAGGACAACGGCGCCGGTGGTGTAGTGGTAAGCGTGATTACCTCTCACCCCAGCAGGCCTGGGTTCAATCCCAGTCGGCGCCGCCGGGATGTTCTGAGGCATAACATCTCTGATCACGCCTTCCTTCGGATGGGAAGTAAAGCCGTTGGTCTCCGGTTCATGAGTTGATGGGTCGATAGGTAGGGTCCAGGTGTAGGAGCTGCCTTCCTGGCACGTCGGTAGCATTGGTGCTCAGCACGGAAAACAAGATCGACGGAAAAAACAAACCAAAGGAAAAAAAAAAAAAAAAAACATAAGAAAGGAGGTATTCGTCATGAACCGCAAGCTCCTTGGATGCATGGAAGCAATTCATCACTGAAAGCAGTATAATTTATTTGCAGCGATTTTGTACGAGGTTGCTAGCACAGCGTCACTTTTTGTTGCAAGGTTCGTGTCACTGCTCTGTGGCAAAACGGTTTGCATGCACGGTTATTTAATTTCAATCAGAGAAAGAGTAACTTCTACTCAGATGAAAGAGTAATTCGACAGTGAGCATACATAAGGGCGAATACGCGATGATCGATTCTCTTTATCGATTTTCTCTATGTATTGTTACAGCTAAGTGAAACAAATTTCTAGAATTTGCTCAATGCAGAGTTGTAACAGGTTGTATTGGCTATCAAAAGCAACAACAAATGAACCGAGAAACGTTAATTCTAGCGAGTTATTAACAAAAGAGAAAATCAAATTGACGAAGAGAATTGATCATCGCGTTTACGCCCTTATGCATGAAAACGAATATTCTTCAGAGAGTGAGTCACTTTTACTCCTTCGTTTGGAGGAAATTATAAAAGCGTAGGTTACCTACGCCTTTAGAAATGTCTCTATACGAACGAGTAAAAGTAACTCAACTAAGTAAAAGAGCCTCAGTCTCTGAGTTAGTTTAATTTTCAGTATGCTACTCAGTCCTTTTGAGTGAGACTGAACGGCCGTGTAGTCGATGAGATCAACTCAAAATTTATTTCACGACCAATGAGAACAATACAAATTTGAGTTCAGTTAGCTCATAAAACGCAAAAAGTGCAGAAACTCAGTGATGAGGCAATTGGCGTCTTGCAGTGAAACTTTTCCAAGCTTTCGCCACCTACATTTCGAAGTGAGAACTACTAGAAGGAGGATAGTTTTCAAATTTTCCAAGCAAAACAGACGCTTTTTGGGGCAAATCGGTCCATAAAGAAAAACTAATAATTTCCCGTGGAAACTTTTGCTTGAATCGTGTAAGAAAACGTGTTTGAAAACTATTTGTTATTATTTCGGTATGGATCAGAGATGTTTTCATGGCAAATTATGCATAACAAGTTTGCACCCACAGGGAGAGGTTACCTCCTGCGCAGCTGCATTTTCCAGAAAATGGTTAATATGTGCGATTTTCACTAAGATGAAAGTGGAAATCAAGTGAATTTGCTTAGGAAATGTTGTATCATGCTAGTGGTAATAGAGAATTGGTTGTATGGGACGCCAAATTCAATAAATGCTCATTTTAGCCTTTTTTAAGCAAACATATTGATACTCACAATTTTTGACGAAAAACGCTCCGGAGCTTGATTTACTCAACACGCACCATACTATAAAATGGTGCTAGATGGTCTTCAAAGTGATAACAAGATGACAAATCATCTTTATTTTGAGTAATTGAGCAATTTACTTTTGTTTACCATCATATTTACGATGCAGCATTGATGGAGCCGTGAAATGAAATGAATATATCTTATGAAAGTTCACCTGGAAAAGTCAAAGCTGCACATCAGTCTGATCGTAAAAACGTTTTCTTCTTCAATTCGAATGTTATATTGGAAGGATTTCACGCAGGCTTGATGAAAATTATGATTTAACGCTAATTTTCACGAATTTTATATGCAGTCTGTCAACATTATCATCATCATGCAGTGGTGACATCTGCGTTGAGCTTTTGCGGCAATCTTCCAATTAACCTCATGTTTTTCCAGGTTTTTCCAGTAATTTTTTTTTTCGAATATGATAAATCTAGACCAACAATTGAAATAGGTGGAACAACTAAACGTTAACAATGGCTTTAATCGCAAATTTCTCGAGAATCAAAACACATCCACGATATGTAAAGATTGGATTCTCTTAGTCTAAATTGACACTACTCATAGACCGAGTAAAATTTTCGTTAATTTTCCTCATTTTCCGGCAGATTATAGAAGTTTTACACAGGAAACCATGTTGGCAAGTTTATTGATCGCTGCACACTTAAATTTTTGCCGAGATTCCAACAGCCGAGTAGTACTGCAATTTATTTACCTGATATTCAGTAAAACAATTGCCGAGGCTCAGCTAACAAATAACATTTTGCTGAGATATCAGCTAACTAACAGATATTTTGCAGAGATATCAGCAAAAGTAAATGCCGTGGAAATCGGCTGTTGAACATTTTACCGAGCTAGAATAAGTCTGTGAGTTCCTGTATTTTTGACGATTATGAGTAAACTCAAATTTGGGTCGTTCTCAATCGCAGTGTAGGTCACAAATTTTCCAAGATTTTTCAGGAAAAACTTTTCGAACATGCGGAAAATCGAGAGAGAGGTTTCGCTCCGGCTACACGGCGAATGAAAACGACCCAAATTTGAGTTTAGTTCACTCATAATCGCCAAAAGTGCAGGCACCCAGCGATGCGTAAATTTGTCTCATGGTTTAGAAACCTCAAAAATCTGCCGGAAAATAAGGAGAATTTTACTTAATCTATGAGTAAACCAGTAGTACCAATAGACTGAGAGAGTCAAATCTTTACTTTTCTCATATTCGGGACGCTTTACCTGGAAAAACCTGGAAAAACATAAGGCAAATTTACTCAACGCAAATTTGGGTTGTTCTCATTCGCCGTGACTGAATGAAATTTTCGTTAATTTTAATCATATTCGAGCAGATTTTTGAGGAAAAGCCAAAAGACCAAATTTGATGCGATTTACAATGAAAAACCACTCAATTTTGAGTCGATCTCATCGGCCGTGAGCTTGTAGAGTGAACTGTAATGAATATTTTTAAATTGATGGTTCACAGAATCTTTGAATTTCATTTAAATTAAAATTATATTTACTTTACTTTACATTACTTTACTTTACTGTAGTTCTTTTCTTTCCTTTATTTAACGTCGGTCTCTGTTCCGCAATCTAGTGCCAATCACCGACGGACATCGATTGCCATCCATTGACGGCAATCTAATGTGCAGGAAGGCAGCTTTCACACCTGCGTAGGATATCGCACCCATTCACAACAACACACATGGGCCGGGACCAACGGCTTTACTTCCCTTCCGAAGGAAGACGTGACAAGAGATTTTTATGCCTCAGAAAAATCACACCGACCTCGGCTGGGATTGAACCCAGACCCATTGGGGTGAGAAAGCAGTCACGCTTACCACTACACCACCGGCGCCGGCGCTTTACTATAGTTATTGGTGACCTTTTTAAAACGAAACATAAATGGTGCCATACCAGCTTCTGAATCAACCAACATTTTCACAAGTTCCACTTGAATGCATAATCGAGTCTACCGTAATACAGCCCTTACATATGCTTTACTGCAAATAAGCTCTGAGAGACATTATCCTTGATGGATAAAAAATCTAATGTGCATTGTTCTTAAATGGCGGATGAACTTGATCAATCGAATCGAGCTATAAAGAATAACTCAACTTCCTTGTTCTTTGGCTAAACAAATCGAGCTTTATTGATATGTTACTTGCTTATACAAACGGTAAAACCCTACACTGCAAGTCGGAATGAAATTTAAACATACATAAAAATATCAGTAAAGCTAATGCATTCTAACGCTAAATACTAGTCTATAATAATTGATTTCGTTTCAATCTGCCACACTACTACTAACTTATTGCAGTTTCAATTGCTTCGTCCATAAGGGCACTTGTTATTGCTGTGCGTAAAAACATTAACAAATCATTGTTCGCTTCGAGTCAGATACTGCTCGGCCACCTTCTCCCACCGTTCCAGTATGTCTTTGTCCTTCTCGCTCCACAAAGCCTCCAGTAGCTTCCAACCACGAGCCTGGGTCGACAGAATGTACTGATTTTTCGCGTCCACCGTGGAAGTGTACAATCCCAGTACCAAACTCTGACACAGACGGGCCGCAATTGCTACCCTCAGCACTTCCTTCTCATGCGGTGGGATCACCCTTAGCATGCTGTACCCGGCCATGACCAAACCACCCGTATCCAGATCGTTAGCTTCCAGCATCAAGTAGGTCATAGCGATTGCCAGCTCAAACACATACAGCGAGTAGCAGGAATCTCCAAAGTCGATTATTCCGGCAATATCGTACTCTTTGGGATGATCCTCTTTTCGGCTTACGATGATGTTGTGCTCGTTGAAGTCACCGTAGATTACGCCATGTTCGAATTCATCCAGCTTCGGTACGATCCTTTTATCGAAAGCCTCCAAAACCTGCTCAATGATGTCCTTGTGATGTTCATCTTTGATGACGTATAGGAAATCCTTCAACTGCGGAACATTGTCCAGCATCCATATGGACTGGCGCTTCAGAATACCTTCATGGGTGATGCTCTGAAAATAGTTTGAGATTGAAATATCATTCCGTAGCAACCATTCCGTAATGATGTTCGTACCTTCAAAGCCGAATCAATCCTACCGATGAACGTACCGGCATCGTAGAAGAGCCGGTCTGGATGCGGAATGCCATGGAACACCTTTCCAGGGACATATTCCAGCAACCGGACGACATGTTTGCCATCACCGAGCTTCTCCACTGAGTGGTACTTTCCGAAGATATTCTCAATCGGTGTCGGACATGTGATGTGATGGGCCTGCAGTAGCAGCATAATTTCCGCTTGACCTTCGAAAAATGCCTCATTCTGTGAGTCCAGCGAGTTGGCAATCTTCAGAACGTATCCGTTGGAGCTCACCGTCTTCAAAATGGGGTTTTTGATCAAGCTGAAAAAAAAACGAGATATAGAGGGTAGAGTAATGCATTATATGTGTTCATTTGCATCTCTTTTGCGGTGCAATTAACGCTGATTTGCATCAATTTGGAGCATGCCTCCAAACGACCAACACAAAAATAGCTTGCCGTAAAACCGCATGATAGGTGAAGCTAAACGGATTAATGAAAACCTTGTCAACAATATTTTGAAACTGATGTCATAAATCCCACTAGATATGTTTCAGTAAACAGCAGCACGTGATAACCGAATAATTCCATGCATCACATGACCCCTCTCCCCGCTACAATCAACAACAATGAAACTAAATGCCTCAAGGTTTAGTAGGTCAACATTAACATCAACACAGTCATCGAAACGAGTGGGATTGCTCGTAAACAGGTGAGAACGTTTCAGAAACCATGTAATCGCGGGTAAATAGTAAACAGAGCAGATAGGTGGTACCTGTAGCCACCGGCTATCTAATCGACGGCGACGGCGAGATGAATCAAGGTTACATCGATAGACGAAAAAAAACTTCTTGAACGTGATTGAAAAGGTGAATCACGCTGGAACGGTGTCAGCAAGACGAGGATCCAGTTAAGATAATTCCGATCTATGTTCGGGTCGTCAAGAATGTTAACTCGGTGAAATTGACACTATCAAGCAATTTCAGCCCGTACCTACTTTGTATTAACTGGACGGGGACCTGATTGCAGTAATGATTCAATTTGTAGCGCAGTTTCAGCATGCTTGGATGCACAGATGATAGTGAAGATAGGATAATAACAATGGTAAAGCGCCGTAACTTTCCATCGTAGGTACTGAATCATGCACAAGCCGATTTTTAAAAAAAACCTCGAACTTTAGCAGGTAAATCCAATATAATGCTTAGATTTAAATGAACATTTGGTAAACGTGATGAAACGTTCTTTGAATAGCTTCCTCCTACCTGTATGTTATGTTTTGTATCAATCATCATTCTACTGGAAAATTCCGTTATGATTTCTACACGGCGAAGGAGAACGACCCAAATTTGAGTTTAATTAACTCATAAATCACATAAAGTACAGGAACTCAGCACTGAGTAAATTTGCCTCATGTTTTCTCAGGTTTTTCCAGCAAAAATCCCGATTATGAGAAAAGTAAAGGTTGGATTCACTCAGTCTGTTGGTACTACTCCTAGACTGAATGAAAATTTTGTCAATTTCCTTATTTTCCGGCAGATTTTTGAGGTTTTCCTACACTTTCGGCGATTATGAGTGAACTAAACTCAAATTTGGGTCGTTCTCATTCGCCGTGTAGTTAGAACAAAATTCTGTTTTTACATTCCAGTGAAACAAGACTTTGAATGTTGATCAGATTGATGCTCAGTAAACACAATGCAGCAAACGCTCGCTAGACAAACAATGATTAATCCTTACTGTGGATTAACTCATGCCCATACAACTCAGTGTTTCAAAAGTAGGACAGCCGCGCAGCTTCCCATTAATAATGAATATCTTCCCATTCTTATCAGTCTGATGTATAATTTCTTTATCAAAGTTACTTTCAGTATTTGACTTTAACAGGCAAAGATCCTAGAAGAACGTTCTTCGTTTTCGTCAGTATTGATGCAAATCGTCCAAGTCAGACCTTTGTAGGAGTAAGAGGTACACACTTAGAAATAACTCATTTTACACGTGACGGAATCCGTCCTTCTTCTTCTTCTTATTCTTCTTCTTCTTCTTTTTCTTCTTCTTCTTCTTCTTCTTCTTCTTCATTCCTTTATTTAAAGACGGTCTCTGTTCTGCAATCTAGTGCCAATCACCGACGAACATCGATTGCCATCCATTGACGGCAATCAAATGTGAAGGTGCAGGAAGGCAGCTTCCACACCTGCGTGGGATATCGCACCCAGGTTTGCTTCCACTCACTTGCTATAAAAACAAATTTTTCGGAATTTTGCAATCATTAGATGATATAATGATATGCTGTACTTGTAAGTAACAAGAAGATTGTTTAAAGTATGTGTTTGACTCATAAAACCTGGCAATTTTGTTTTCAGAGCGTCACAATAAGCGATCTTATGATTCATGAGCGTTCACTCAGAGTGAGCACTCACGAGTCGTAAAATTGCTGATTGTGAAGCACTGAAAGCAATATTGACATATTTTATGTGTCAAACACATGCTTCACGTCCTCATCTTGTGACTTACAATTACTAATTATCACTATCTCATGATTTCATAATTCTGAAAAACATTTTTTTATAGCGAGTGAGTGGAAGTAACCCTGATCGCACGCATTCAACATACATGGGCCGGGACCAACGGCTTTACTTCTCTTCCGAAGGAAGACGTGACCAGAGATTTTTATGCCTCAGAAAAATCCCACCGACCTCGGCTGGGATGAATCCGTCTTTGACATAAAAGATGAGACGTAAACAAACATGTCATGTAATATTAGGTGCTCCGAGACTGAAAAATTCGTTGCTTGACGAAAAGTACGATTGGGCTATATTTTGCGTCCATTATAACTCAAATTTATGTCAAAATTGACGCTCGTATATGTCACTCTCAGAGCACCTAAATTTACATAATAAATTTACTAAGTGTGTAGGACCATCATCATCATCTACATGGCCAATTAGAATAACTCAGAGAGAGAGTCACTTCTACTCTGTTGTATGAGAAATTTATGCAGTTAGTCAGCGCTGAGTTCCTGCAGTTTTTAGACATTTCTCCATACAACTGAGCAGAAGTGACTCTCTCTTTGAGTTATTCTCATTGGCCGTGTACCCCTTCTGTGACGATATTATGTAAAGCCGTAACTCCCACTAGCTGAAATTCTATAAAATTTCAAAAGTACAGCAAAAAAGTTCTACAACCGAGAAGCAACTCAACAATGCAATTCAGGATTAACATTAGAAAAGGGCCCATCAGCATTTATAAACAAACCGTTCTAAAGCCCTTTCCTCACAAAGCGAAGGCCGGTCGCGCAACACCTTCATTGTGTAGGGGAAACTTTCCTCTATCCGATGATGGTGTTGGCTTGCGTGGGCGGCTTTCACTTTGTGAGGAAAGGGCTTTGAAACACTTTGTTTACAAATGCTGATGGGCCCTTTTCTATTGTTGATCCAGAATTTATTTTCAATTCACATATCGTTACTCCACACTGTCATGACAGGTACAATTAAGTAACGCACGTAGTACACATCTGGGGAGGGGAGGGTGGTAGGTGACTGCCAAATACGAACAATCGTCGCCTACCTCGCATAACTGCTTCCAAACGACAACAAAGCCGTCAGCAACGATGGTTTGTTGATATTTGGAACCAAATTCACATATGGAACATCAATGAGCGTAAACAGGTGCGGCTCAGTAAATTTATCGTCGCTTTCGTTCTCCGGCTGATTAAATGGATGACGGAGTTTGACGTCACACTCCTTCAACCGTTTAAACAGCGGGAGAACGAAAGAGATGACAAACGCAATGAGTCTTACACATTTATATCTCATTGATGGATTTTCAGTAGGCCGATTTGACTGCACATCCCGCCCTGCTTAGGGTCCGTTCAACACTTTTAACGTCCACACGCGTTATCTATGTGTACCAGGCAAAATTTGAAAAAAAAAACCGCGACTAAATTGAATATCTCGGTTGTCAAACGATTTCAGTCAACATGTTATACATATTCTCAAAGGAAAAACTCTGCTGAATCGATTGGTGGTCTCTTTTGCGTACCGAGATACACGGATAGAAATCTCCTTATACCTTTTGTCAAATTTCTATTCCTGATTATTCATAAAATGTATAAGTCAACTAATAAGCAGACGCCTTGCAAAAAGTTAATGAAGATCATGTGTCAAATGAAATGAATAAGCGGTCACACATACCTTTTATGCATTCTTATAGGACCTATGTGGTTTGTCTTATGCAATGTATAAGGGTAATGTTTTGTCAGAAATGTATAAGTGAAACCCATGAATAAAATAATTGATTTTCATTTCGTGTAGAGGGCCAGGATCAGCTCGAGTTTCCGGCATATAACTTGGAATAAATATTTTGGAATAAAGTGGCCATATTCTGGTTCTCCGGATAATCTGGATTGACCGATAAAGTGGCCATATTATAAAAATTGTCCTAGAACTTTGCGATTTTTTCTATGTTTGTTCAGAATCATGAGATCAAAGCGAATTTCTATATTAAATACGCTTTGATCTGTTGATTCTAAACAACATAGAAAAAATCACAAGGTTCTAGGATATTTTTATAATGTAGCCACTTTATCGGTCGTTCCGGATCCTCCTTTAGGCCAGTAGAGTTTTCCTGAGGGCATATATGGTGTCTTTACACCATATACACTTTGTACTATTTCCAGTAATATACGTTAGGTAAAGTGCAAAATTATGTCGATAAATAGTGGCATTTCCTACTTTACCGGGAACTTGGGTTGATCCTGGCCCTCTATCTAAATACACAAAAATCTCCGGCCAGTGAGACTACCACCAATCGATTCAGCAGAGCTTTACCTTTGAGAATATGTATAATATGTTGACTGAAACCGTTTGGCAGCCGAGATATTCAATTTAGTCGCGGGTTTGTCAATTTTTGGCCACTGTGCAGGGGTGTGATTTAGTAAACAATCACTTCAATCGACGATTTGTGGCAACTGCTAGCTCAATCACTAACTAACAACACCAGCTAGTAGGGGAAAGATTCCCCTGCCTGATGATGGTATTTGATTGCGGGAGTGAGCTAGCAGTTAAGACAAATCGTCGATTGAAATGATTGTTTACAAAAGCAGATACGTCGATTTGAATAGTTACACTTGATTTGGCTGGAAGTGAATCAGACTTCAGAGTTAATTGAAAGGGCCCTTGCATTAATTATGTCACGCTAAATCGAACAAAAAATTACCCCCTCCCCCTCCCCCCTACTGTGACGTTTTTCCTATACCTAATGCATTGCTTGTCAAAAAATCTTAGACCCCCCCTACCCCCTTAGAGCGTGACATAATATATGCATCAAC